TTATTTCTTCACACCTAACATGTACATGGTACTGTTTGAAATGCTAAGTTTTTAAGCAAGCCAATAAAACAGTAACAAAAATATCAGAAGGCTTGTATCAAAAAGCACGGATTGGGGAGGTGAAACAGTAGTTAAGAGCACTTGCTTCTCTTTCAGAGGACCATGGTACAGTCCCAGAACCCATGTAGTAGATCACAACTATGAGTAATTCTATTTCCAGGAAATATGATGCTCATTCCCAGCCTCCCCAGACATTCTACACACATGGAGTACATACACATAGGCAGAAAAGTCATAAGCATAAAAGAAACAGATACATCTTTCTTTAAAAGTAGAAAAAGCAAAGGAACAGATAAATGAACAATGTAGACTTGATCACTACCAGTTGCATGACAAAAAAAAAACTCTTAAATTCCTAAGAGTGCTGTCAAGGACATGGAGAAATGTTGGTTTGCACACAGGGTTAGGAAAGGTCTCTATATAAGATGTATCTGCACAGGCTATGGTGAGGGAGGAAAATCACACAGACATCACACAGAAGGCATACCAGATGGAACACTTGACACCTCATTCACCATTAGGCCTTTGGCCAGTGCTGTTATTGAGCCCAGAAGCAACAGAAAATTATTGTAAGAGAAATGTCATAAACCTGCTTACATTTTCAAGAGATGATTATACCATTTGATGGAGAATTTAGACTGAATTTAGAATTTAAAAGCAAGAAAAGCATTGGGGCGGTAGTTTAATATCTAGGTATACGATCTAGAGGTTTTAGTGTAATACAAGTGGTTGTTTGCATATGTGTACGCTATCAATATTTTATGTCAGTGTGTAAATGTTTTTCATGTGTGCTGACTGTGTGCACACATTTGTATGTTTAATGTGTTATATATGTGCACTAATTTAAACTACATATTGAATAATTTGAGAGTACTTTCATGCTGATTCCTTAAAAGCAGTTTGTTTTGTCCTTCTTTGTAGCAAAATGTGCTGAATGTCACTAAATCAAGTGTGTGATTTGGTGGCAATGTTTAAGATATGACTATTAGTATTATTTACTATGAGTAAATGCTATAGACATGGCAGTATCTTTTAAGTTCAAGCATGATTCAGTTATTTTTCTTTAAAAGAGCATTTTATGGATGGTATAAAGCAGCAATTAATTCATGGACTTAATGAAAATGATCACAGAGTCCATATCTAGGCACAGTGGCCATATTATCTACTGCAACTGTTTGTCTCAGGTATTGTTGTGCCAGCGATGTGCGAAAGAGTGGGCTTACCATGAAACTTTATAGGATCACTAAAATTTGGATTTATGAAATTTTCTCCCATCTCTAAAACATACTAAGTTGCATATATTCTTTCTTTTTAATTTTTTCAACCACTTAATAAAAGAATTCTCAACATATACTTAATATAAAAACAAGAGGACACAAGTCAGATGTGGCCCACACACTGTGGTTTGCAGATTCCTGGCATTAAATAATTAAGGCTTAGCTCTTTCATCTGTGTTTCACTGATTTACTCTAACTCTAGTTTTAAACAACTTCATTAGCTGGTCTCCTCTTTCTTTTGCGAAATAGAAGGGCATCTTCAAGGACCTCCCCCTGGCAGCCTCATGCATCCAGACAAGACTTGAACTCTTCCTCTTCATAGTCTTGACCTTTTCAAGGTCAAATCAATCCCTTGCACTTCTCTCAGTGTTCTTGGAAGTCCCTCCAGAAGCTATCCTCTAGTGTCTGCTCTTCTGTCAGCAGCTAATTTTCTAATTATTTACAGTAAAAAGAACACAAGCTAAACAATGCATGTTGCCTGCCTATAGGATGTGTTAAAAACAATAAAGCAATAGTTTGACAGGTGGGCATTATGCATTTATTTTGTTACTTTTTTTGATGAAATATAACATAGTTACCATATTGCCTGGTATAAAACTGATCAGATAATCTTTATTTCCTGTAATTATTAGTGCATAATTAGCAGGTCCAACAACACATGGATACATTTCTTCTTTTTTTTTTCTTTTATTGGATATTTTCTTTATTTACAATTCAAATGTTATAACCTTTCCCAGTTTCCCCTCTGGAAACCCCTATCCCATCCTCTCTCCTCCTGCCTCTGTGAGGGTGCCCACCAACCCACTCACTCCCGCTTACCAGCCCTGGCATTCCCCTATACTGGGACTTCGAATCCCCCACAGGACCAAGGGCCGCTCCTCCGATTGATGTCGAACAAGGCCACTCTCTGCCACATATGCAGCTGGAGCCATGGGTCCCTTCATGTGTACACTTTGGTTGGAGATCCAGTTTCCAAGAGCACCATGGGGGGTGGAGGTATCTGGTAGGTTCACACTGTTGCTCCCCCAGTGTGCTGCAAACCCCCTCTTCTCTTTCAGTCCATTCTCCAACTCCTCCATCAGGGATCCCATGCTCAGTTCAATGATTGGCTGCAAGCATCTGCCTCTGTATTTGTCAGGCTCTGGCAGAGCTTCTGAGGAGACAGCCATTACAGGCTTCTGTCAGCAAGCACTTCCCTACATACACAATAGCATCCTGGTTTAGTGATTGTATATGGGATGGATCCCCAGGTAAGGCAGTTTCTGAATGCCTTTTCTTCAGTTTCTGCTCTACAATTTGTCTCCATATTTTCTCCTCTGAGTATTTTGTTCCCCCTTCTAAGAAGCACTGAAGCATCCACACTAGTCATCCTTCTTCTTGGGCTTCATATAGTCTATGAATTGAATCTTGGGTATTCCGAACTTTTGATCTAATATCCACTTATGAGTGAGTGTACACCATGTGCGTTCTCTTGTGACTGGGTTAGCTCACTCAGAATGATATTTTCAAGTTCCATCCATTTGCCTGGGAATTTCATGAAGTCATTGTTTTTAATAGCTGAGTAGTACTCCATTGTGTAAATGTACCACATCTTCTGTATCCATTCCTCTGTTGAGGGACATCTGGGCTGTTTCCAGCCTTTGACTATTATAAATAAGGCTGCTATGAACATAGCGGAGCATGTGTCCTATGACATGTTGGAGCATCTTCTGGGTATATACCCAGTAATAGTATAGCTGGGTCCTCAGGTAGTACTATATCCAAGTTTCTGAGGAACTGTCAGACTGATTTCCAGAGTGGTTGTACCAGCTCCGATCAGCCATGGAGAAGTGTTCTTCTTTTTCCACATCCTTGCCAGTTATCTGCTGTCACCTGAGTTTTTGAACTTAGCCATTCTAACTGGTGTGAGGTGGAATCTCAGGGTTGTTATGGTTTCCATTTCCCTGATGACTAAAGATGTTGAACCTCTCTTTAGGTGCTTCTCAGCCAATCCAGTTTCCTCAGTTGAGATTTCTGTTTAACTCTGTTCTCCATTTTTTAATAGGGTTAGATGTGGCTATTGGAAAAAACACATTGCATAAAAATGATTTTAAATTATAAAAGTAAAGACAGATAGTAAGTCAGCACTATAAATCTTCTTTTATATCAGAATGGGATCCAACAGGCTAACCAGAAAATGTTATTAAATTAAAATTTTTTCTCAAGTGACTTTATTCAAAACCTACTTCTCCCCAAATATCTCAACTGCAGTCTAATTGTGTTTCGTAAAGATTCTGTTATATTATGATTATTTAATTTCATAGAGAAAAGTTCTATCTAAAATATTAAGGAAATGTCAGAGAATACAGAGAGTAGGCCATACCATGTTTTTGTAGGTGAAGATATATATAATGTATATAAATAACATATATGCACATATATAAATGTATGAATATATATTTATATATATGTATATGTGTACATATATATGTAATTATAAAATTCTACATAAATATATGTTTTTATATATCTTTATATAATATATAATTTAATATTTTAATATATTATAATTATTAATATATTTTATATTATATTTATCATGTATGTTCATTACATTATATTTATTATACGTATATTATAATATAGTATATATTTTGTATAAATACTATATATAATATACATTGTATATCATATACACATATGTGTGTAAATACACAGTACACTATATATAAATTATATATTATATATAGATATGTATATAACATTTATTTCTAAATTCCTAATTCTATTGATATTTAAACTTGTGTTTATGGTTTAGATAAATAACTCAGTGGTTAAAGCACTGTCTTATAGTTTCTATTACTTTGACAAAACACTATGTCCTAAAAGCAAGTTGGGGAGAAAAGGATTTATCTGTCTTACACTTTCATATTACTGTTCATTGTTGAAATAATTCAGGACAGGAAATCTAAACAGTATCATGTCCTAGAGACAGGAGTAGATGCAGAAGCCATGGAGAGGTGTTCCTTACCAGCTTGCTTCACATGGTTTGCTAACCTGCTTTCTTATAGGACCCAGCACCACCAGCCTAGAAATTGCTACACCCACTATGGGATAGACATTCCTTTACTAAAAACTACTTGAGAAAATGACCTATAGCTGGATCTCAAGGAAGCATTTTCTTTCCAGTCTGATGACTCTGGATTGTGTCAAGTTGACAAGCACAACTAGCCAGTGCAAGTACACATCACTCTTGTGGAGTACCACAGTTTGGTTTCCCACAACCCAAATCAGTAGGTAGCTCACCACTCTGTAACTCTGGTTGCCTCCGTGGGCATTCTCATTCAACAGCATGCATCTGAATATTTAAAACTATTATGTTTATTCCTATGAAATTGAAACTGTATACCTTTCAGTCACAAGAATTCCCTGAAATATTATGGACAAATGTAAATATGTTGATATTCCAAAACAGCAAGGAATGAAATTGAAATGAATTAACCAAGTAAAGGAGATAATAATTAAGTGTCTGTGCATACTCTGTTTTGTATTACTTTATCCAAACATCAAATTAAACTCCATGAAGTTAATATAATTGTGATTTTTTCAATGCAAAATTCTGTAATGTATAAAAATTGCATTTAACTAAACCAACTTAGGAAATTTTCATTTTCTACCTTCCAGGCTCTGGCCTGAATGATGGACAGTGGCATGAGGTTCGCTTCCTGGCCAAGGAAAACTTCGCAGTCCTCACCATTGATGGAGATGAAGCATCAGCAGTTAGGACCAATAGTCCTCTTCAAGTGAAGACTGGCGAGAAATACTTCTTTGGAGGTAGGAATGCCATGATTTAGATTAGCCAACACTTTAACAAAAAGAAAAGAAGGGTACTGGAGAAATGGCTCAATGGCTAAGAGCACTGACTGCTCTTCCAGAGGTCCTGAGTTCAATTCCTAGCAACCACATGGTAATTCACAACCATCTGTAGGATCCAATGTCCTCTTCTGGTGTGTCTGAAAACAGCTACAGTGTACTCATATACTTATAACAAATAACTAAATAAGTCTTTAAAAAAAGTTTGCCAAAAGTTTATTAAGTACTTGAATTTATCCAAAGGAATCCAATAGATATTTGGATAAAAGAAGCAAAGTGCACTGCATTAAATAGTTAAAGAAATTGCTGGTCACATTAATGATGTCAATATGTTAACACTCTACCCTTTGATTCAAATCTTTAAAACATAAAGCATGAGAATCTGTTTAATTTCCACTATCTGCTAGGATCAGTGACTTCAACTATAGATTGGACACTTACTGTATAGAAAATTCTCCCAAACCTTAATCAAAACTCAAATCTCTGTCTATATGAATATATATTTCTATCTTGCCATGTGCATCTTGTTTCCTGAAATTGTTAGAGTAATTCTACCTTAGAGCACTTATCTTATCTGCCTGATTTCCTATATACTTCCCTAGTCCTAGAGAACTTCCTGGAATATGACAAACAGTAAATAAAAAATTGTGAATGTATTTGTAAACCTTGTAAAATTAAAAAAAATGTTAAACATTTTATGTTAAACTGCCTGAAATAAGAAATACATGTCCTGGAAGCAGCTGGTTCCTGAATAGAAGACCATAGGCTTCCTATGTAGCAAGTTTTGGGGAAAGGATAACTTAGAGAAATAAGCTCTCAGTTTGTACTGAGTCATTAATCCATAATATTTGTTGGGTATTCACAGTACATGTTTTAAAGGTTCTCACTGAATACTTGATGGGTCAATGAAAGTGAGTCAAGATGTCTTCTGAGTGAAGGAATGGAGATGATTAACAAACGAAATCCATTCATTCATAAACTGGTTTCCTATAAGTGCATTTTCAACATGGCTTTAAGCCAAGAGTTCCCATGGTTGTCATAGTAAATGGATTCCAGTTGTCAGAAACTCTGGACAAGCTCTTGTCCCGAATGTCATTGACCATGGATGAGGTCAGCATAGGCCTATAGTAGTGTCTATCCATCTCAATCCAGGAGATAGACAAAGTGTTGGAACCTCACATTTATGGTATGGATTACAGGATGTAGTGTGCTATACTTTATTGCTTTATAGAACCGAGCTTTCAAAACTCTGTAAGGAGGACCTTGAGTTCCTCTTGGGTCTTTGTTCTGCCTCCAAGATAAGCTGCCAGTATAGGATCAAGATGATTTTTTTATTATATTCTCAGCAACTGAGTCCTCCACGTGAAAAAAAAAAAACATAAAAAAATTGCAGCTCCAGACAACTACAAATCTCAGGCATGTCTACTAGAATTTTAATATACGGGGTGAGGTACTGAGACAGGGAAGAACTATAGCTACATAAACTGCAAGTAATTCTGGGGCATATGCTTTCAAGAACAAGATGTAGGTGAACCTGAACTAATGCCCACTATACCCACCTTGATATTTTTCTGAGAGATAGAAGCTACTAGAAGGAGGAAAGAAGAAAGCATAAAAATTAATGGTGTTCCTGGTCTCTGAAAGTCCTAAGTACAGGCTTCCAATAAGTTTACCCTCTGGCCATGTAGCATTACCTTGGCTTTTTCTAATAGGGTGTGTTCCCACATTTCTGTGCCCGCTCCCTAGAATTTCAAGTAATGACCAAGTGCCTGACAGTGTATGTGCTTCACTTTCTTCATCTGTGAGAATAAGCAAATCACAAAGGAAAGGAATCTTTGAAGGTACTTCTTCAGTGAAGGGGGTCATAGCTGATTTAACTATTATCTCTATCTCTCAACTGGATTTCCTTAACACTTTATTAATTTTAATAATTGGCATAATAATAAAAGAGGCAATTCTATTTATTTATCAACCAATTACTTGATAATAGGATTTTAGATATAGGCTGTGGCCCATGGTTATATGGGTACAGTTTTAAATTTCTAGCATTTCTTAGACTGTTATTTTTTAATATCTCTTCTATTTTCATTTGAAAGGAAACACCTGTGGTAAGAAAATTCCCTTGGCTCATATTAAAAATGGGAAGTCTAAAGAGCATAGTCTGGGTATGCAGCTCACAAGAAAAGAGGCAATGTGACAGGAGAACTTGTCTGACATTTTTCAAAATTTTATTCATTTGTTTATTTTTTACCATTCACTTTACACCCCACTTGTTCCCTGACTCCTGATCACCCCAATCCTTCTTCCACCCCCTGCCCTTCTCCTCTGAGCTGGTAAGTACCTGCTGGGTAGCCTCCCTCCACCTTTGTACTTCAAGTTTCTGTGAGGCTAGACTCTTCCTCTACACTGATTCTGACAGGAGAGCCCAGCTACTAGAACATATCCCTCATACATGGCATGACTTTTGTAGGGCTGAAACTAGTGAGCTTGAATGGAGGAAGATCCATCCATTTCTAGTTTCTAATCTAGATACACCAGTATACTCATATCAGCCACTGCCAACTACAGTAGCTGGAGGACACCAAGTAAGTGGTTTTAACCATCCATATTTATTTCCTCAAGGTTTATTTCTGACGGCAAGAAGTTCAAGATCAAAATGCTGTTAGATGTAATATGCTGAGGACTGTCTTCCTGACTTTCAAACTGTCATTTTCATATTAAGTCTTCACTGCTATATAGTACGGAGGAATGGCAAAAAGGTCATTGCAAAAACACAAGAAACTTCATACCTTGTTCTAGCTAAGAAGCTAATCTTATTGTGAGGATTCTACCATCATGATATAATTACCTCCCAGAGATCCTTAACCTGTACCACAGCAGGGTAGGACTAAGTTTTCCATATATAAATTCAGAGGAGGACACATAGTCTACAACAGTAGTATTTTAGTCCTTGTTGAAACTGACCAGAAGTTAAGTAGCTAACTAGATAGGCATGCAAATTTGTCCAAATACAAAGTATTTTTTTTTTTGAGACAGGGTTTCTCTGTGTATCTCTGGCTGTCCTAAAACTCACTCTGTAGACCAGGCTGGCCTTGAACTCAGAAATCCTCCTGCCTCTGCCTCCCAAGTGCTGGGATTAGAGATGTGTGCCACCACAGCCCTGCCAAAGTATTTTTCTTTTCTTTCTTTAAAAGTCAGACAAAACTAAATAAGTTTATTTTACAAAGAAATCAAATCTAATGAGTTTAGCAAAGAATAGTATTGGTTTTCTAAGCAGAATTTCAGGTATCCTAAATTAGGATTGAAGTATGTTATATTGTATGTGCATAGTATTGTGTAAGGCAACATTTAGAAAAATACATTACTCACTATATTTTTAATATTACTATAATATAATTATATACTTGGCTTAGAAAACCACTAGAAACATGAAGTTGGTAACAACACAGCAGAATGAACTGAGCTCTCACACTTAATTTGTACGAAACACATGAAGTATTACTGTAAGGTACCCATGTTCAGTGATTCTTTTAATCTAAAGACAGTACTGCTTCAGAAGAAATAAAAACACTACATTTCCATTTCAAAATGGAGGATGCAGAGACCCAGTCTATGGTTTTCTTCCCTTAAAGTTAGTAAGTGAGTGATCAATCAGACTTTAGTCTGATTCTGTCTCTTTTTTTGTTTTATTTTTTATTGGATATTTTATTTATTTACAGTTCAGATGTCATCCCCTTTTCCCATTTCCCCTCCCTAGAACACCCTTATCCCATTCCCCTCCTACATTTTGCATTTATACCATTTTAATTAAATGCAAGTACAAAGGTCAGTCTTAGATTGAGGAATTAGCAATACAATAGATACAAATAGTCAAGGAACAAGGAAGAAAATAAACATAAATAATCAAAGTATAAGCAAGGCAATAAACAAAAATTTGTGAGCACTCCTGTGATCACTGTTTCTATCAGCTTATCAGGATGACCAAAATATCTGAGCCAACTTCCCTGTCCTAGCCCAAAATCATTTTCATGTATGAAGGCTACTTCATCATTCTAGCCTAATCTTTAGATTCCTGCCTTATATTACTTCTTTGTTCTAGCCTAATATCAGATTCCTACCTAAAGCCTACTTCTTTGACCATGTCCAATATCATATTCCTGCCAAGCAGCCCATTTCCTTGTCCTTGACCCATGTCAGATTCTTGCCAAGCAGCCCCAAAGGCTCTCTGCTTCTCCCCCTTTTTTATTTCATTAACAAGACTGAGCCTGTCTTAGGTCATTCTGACAAGAGTGCCTTCCTTACCCATCATGGAATATACATTATCAAAAACAATACACTTCTCTCTTAGGTTGGTAAGGCTCTGTGCAGAAACTTACCTGTCCTTGGCTTGTCAGCCTGTTAATTTAATAACACTGTCTGGGGGTCCATTTTAAGGTTCAAGCCATGTACTTTGGCTGCCAACATGTTGATGTTGTTAAAGACATGCTTTAACACAATGGGCAGGAGTAAAATTATTCCCAGGACAAAAAGGGCTAGCATGATCAAGCTATATATGCCATTCTTGAAGCTTGACCAAAATTGAAAAATGTATCTCAGGCCATGGGTAATTTTATCAGCAGTATCTAACGAATCAATGCTCAGCAGAGCAGCATTCTTGAAATTCATAAGCTCACTATGTAAAGTTAAAACATACAGAGAGGTGTTAGAATTATGCCAAATACACTGCAAATGTCTTTAAACACTTTCCTAATTATAATGACTACCACTGTAAATTTTAGAATTAGCATGAATCCAACAGTATTTGTCATGACACTTCAGATGGCTCCTTACTCTTAAATTCTGAACCTCCTTCCAATAATTTGAATAGGATAAAGAACATGAATCCATTCTCCCAAATGCCTATCTAAATCCTCTTGTATATTCAACACTTTAGTAACATTTTTTGCTAAATGATTAACAAA